TACCACTGCCTCACACTGAGGTTTTTATTGCACACTGCCTGTGCTAAGTTTTATTTAGCCTGGGTGGTTATTTCACTTTGTTGTTGCTGATGTTGTTCTGTGTTTAAGTTGGTGTTTCCTTCATGTCTTTGTATTGGAGCATGCAGTACACGTGTTCAGTTTATATGACAAAGAAACTGAACGCTGCAAGGAAAACCCTCAGCTTGAGAAACCTAAAATGGGTGAAAGAGCGATGCACTCCTGGGCTTAGCCTGGGATCTCAGGCCTGCAGTCTGCTTCACAGATCTGCAGTGCTGGGGGTTATCACAAGGGATTTTGGCTACCTGCGCTGTATGAGCTGAGAGGGGAGTCCTGGGAGGGACACCCTGTTCATTTACACCACTGTACACTTGATATCCAACGCACCTTCTCGTCCGTGAAGATGACAGCGGTTATGTGTCAGTCCAAGCTGAATTCCTGACACCCTGGGTGAGAGGTGTCGGGGTACAGTGGTGGCTGTGGAAGGGAGCAGAGTGAAGCTGGTTTCAGTTCGTGAGGAAGGTGCCTTTCTCTCTTTCCAGATACGGATTGCACTGAAGGACTGGGACGAGGTGCTGAGGTTTCAGGAGGACGTCACTAGTGCCCAGCACTACGATGCAGCCTACATCATGAGGAGACTGTTTTTAGACAAAGCGTTTTACTTCTGTGCTATGCCGGAGATGGTATGTTGCCTCCCCTTAAAAAAACCAGAAGGCAGCATCCACAGTACTCTGACATGCACAATGAGCAACTGTTATGCCTAAAAGACAGGCTGGTAATGCTTTGTTGAATGAATGGTATTTTAACTTGGGTCACTGGTATGAACCAAGCCTTTTGGCCCATCTAGTCTGTTTGGTAGTTTGCAGTTAATTGATCTCATCCAGCTGTTTCTTGCAAGAAGCCAGGTATCGGCTGGTTAGATTTCCACCATGGCCTCCTGTTCTTGGTTGTATATTCACTTCCAGATTATGATTTATACATTCCATGCGTCACCCTGTAGCACATAACAGGGACATTTGTTGGACTCTGTTTCATGAATACTCATGTGTCTCCTTTCTCCCTGTCCGTTTTTGCCCTTTGAAGTTGTGTTACAGAATGGGTAAGAGACAGCACAAGCACCCCATCTGTGAGGAGTTCAGGGACAGACCAGCCCGAGTGAAAGACCTCGTTAATTTGGAAACGCTGGAGGTAGAGTCACCTGACGCACTCCGTCACATACGTTGCGTGTGCCTCCAAGATTACTGAGAAAACGAGGCTTTTCTCTTCCTTGCAAACTACTGTGCCTTTAAAAGCTTTCAAAATATGTGGATGCCTTGGCATAAAGGTAGTATAGAGAGCAAATGTTTGCCCGACATCTTTGAGTTATAGTTAAAATAATGCATCTGTGTTTTGTGATCCTGAAACCTTGAGGTGATGGCTTGTGTTGGAAATATAAACAGTGCGGGAAATGTACATCAAAATAAATTGACTGCAGAGACTTTTAAGCCTAATATATATGGTAATATCCCTCTAATACATTTACAGTATAGTGTAATGCAGACTTCGGGTCAATAGATATTGTGAGTATGAGATGGGCTCATCATTGTTTTCCTTGCATAACCTAAGGTGTGCCAGCAGAATATTAGAAACCTTTTGTGTCCTTCTAATAATGGTTTCTTCCTTGTGTCTGGTGCGACTCTAGGAGGTCCTGAACGTTCACGAACACTACCATAAAATGAAGTGTGCGATCTCAGCCAGTGCCAGCCAGCCCGACAGTTCTTTGAGCCTCATCCAGCAGGACCTGGTGCCTCAGCTGAAGGACGTTGTTCTGGACTTCCACAACTGGCAGGAGAAGAGGACGGTCAGCACCGTGTCTCATCTGCATCTTCCAGCCTCGAAGCTGTTGACCCTCTGTGATTTTAGACTGCTCTCTTTTAGGGATACTGTGTCCCAGATGCTGAATGCCTCTCATTTGTAAATTTTCTTATGTTCTTATGGGGATCTTTACTGTATGAAGGTCTGGATCATCTGAGACACTGAGATCCCATCCAACCTGGAAGCATGCCAGACTTCCCGGCTTTCTGTTTGCTAGAATAGGGATGTTATCTTTAGTTTCATGACTAAATTTTAAAATGGGTTATGAAGTTTGACCTAACTAGTGTCTCCGTACTATATTTACAGCATCTCGGCCATCAGAATGGCACTAAGTTTAATGTTATTTGTAGATTGACCATGAATAAGACGCAGGCGTAAATTCAATTTATACAGCGTTTTACATCTCAAAGGATATCACAGTGCTTTAAATGTAGGAGTGGACCCACTTCACCTGTGCTTGAAATGCACCACCAAGCTGAGTGACGCACAGTAGATCGGGTGGAGAAATTACATTAACTGAATAGGGAGCTTGCAAAACTCAGAGTTTTGCAAGCTCAGAGTTGAATTTGACCAGGACACCGGGTTAATACTCCTACCCTTACGGACAGTGTCTCAGGTTCTTTAACTACTAAGTAATCAGAACCTTAGTTTAATTTCTCATCTGAAGGACACTGTCTCCAATAGCCCAGTTTCCCCCAGCACCATACTAGGGCATTGCTTTGGGAAATCCTGGTCCAGAAGGAAGAGCCTCCTATGTCTCCAATCCCAGTACTGACCAGATCCAGCCTTGCCCGGCTCCTGATGAGATCAGGCTGGACTGTAGCAGGTATAAAGGTTTATTCCAGGCTGAAAAGAAAAGAGACAGTGTTTTGGCTGTGGAGCCGTCTTCAGGTGCCACACTCGGCATGGAATAAACCTTTACCTGTTCCTTTGCAGCCTAAGCATGCTGCTGCAGCTCCCTGCTTAGACTGTAGTAATGCTGCTCTTAGCTAGCTACACCCTCACTGGGGCTCAGTGCAGATCGGACAGCCCCGAGTGCTGTGCTGGGATTGACACCTGTGTCCCTTCTTGTGTGCCAGAAGCGGGTGAAGCAGTCTGTGAAGACCAACTCGGAAGAGGACAACGATGCAGATGCAGGACAAGGAAGCTCACAGCAGGATGAGGTCAGTTCATTTCCTTCTCCCCTTGGGCTGGCATCAGGAACAGGAATAGGCCAACTTTATCAATTCATCAATTCAATTCAACTTTATTGTCATTAAACTTACACAGGTGCATAGTATAATGAAAAGTGTTTTTCTCATTAGTCACTCAGGTGCAGTATATAAATAGGACAGAAGATAAGACAATAGACAGTAACACAATAGCAATAACATAACATAAATAACATGTAATCTTATAACAAAATCTTAAATCTTAAATCTTCCACTTTGTGCAGTTGCAGGGCTTTGATTCACCCAGTATTTTATCTGTTTGATTCAGTTTTAATGACTTAATTGTTCCTGCTCCTGAAAACGACTTCAGATTTCAAGGACTGGCAAGAGCACTGTTTTGAAGTCAAGTGGAAGAGATTATATTTTATACACCTGGAATAAAAGTCAGTTCTGTGATTTCACTACAAAACATGTCATTCGCCGGTGTCACCTTCACCATCTCTTTCTTGGCCTGACAGCGCGCTGTCATATCCTCTCTTCTCTTTTTTTCCAGTCTTCCAGGAGAGCACAGCTGCTGGCGAGCATCAAATCCAAATCCTATGGGCAGTTAGTAGAGGTGTGCCGTCTTTTGTCATTATTCTTTTCTGAGCAGGAGCGTAGAATTCATTTCTGTGCTAATGTGTGCATCTCTTATCACCCATGTTCTTATACTAAGATGTGTGGAAATTAGATGTACATTTGTCGGGCGATTGAATTATCAATGATTCGTTTGCAATTGAAAGCTTAGTTCTCCTTATAGTTACCTTGAGTGCCTGCAAGCATGTATACGTGTCATATTTATAAATCACGTAATCCCAGTCTCTGTAGTTCTTCTTGCTAATGTGTAAATGTGTGCAGTGGCCCATTTAAAGTAGATGTGATGAATTTTGTTGTTTCAAAGAAGCACAAATCCAATTATGTCGGTCAGTGTTGTAAGTGTTTTTTATAATTGCACTTTTAAAAGATGGCTTTTCACGTCTGGCTTTTTTCAATACACATTGGCATAAATGTGTGACCCGTGTACTGTACTTCAGCAGAAAACAGATGCTCTCAATCTCAGTCTCATTCTAGGCCTGTGAAAGTCACTCCTGGCTCTGAAGGTTCACAGTCTGTCAGGGTTTATTGGTTACTTGATAAACTCCAAGGAGTGAAGACGTGGGAGCAGTGGCAATATAGACCAATTAAGCTGATCTTTTACAAGTAGTTCTTTTGAGCTCTCGAGAGTCCGGGGTTTGATTGCGATTAGGGGATGAAATAAAAGGACACCACCAGTAGGTGTAAAATCTGAGAACGGTCACACAGATTAATCCTCTTATTAAGCCAGTTACGAATTCAGTGGTCTAACTGACAGCTTGGCAGGAACAGAAACTGACTGGGTCACCACGACTGGGAACCCTGGTCTACAGTCTGGTGAACGTTTTTTCTACAGGGGTTTTTAGTGTATAGTGTTTTCGTAATGCTAGAATTGTGAAGGTGTGACAGTTAGACCACACGTGGCCTTCAGAGTGGACTGGTTTTCCGCGCACTCAGGTGTCCAAGTCCAGGAGGCACCGCCAGACCGAGATGGAGTCGTCGGGCTCAGGCAGTGACCAGGGCTCGGCACAGGCTGGCTGTGGGGGCAGGAAGAGGAAGACCCCCCCCTCGCTGAAGGCCAGGATCGCCAAGGAGGTCTGCAGCAAAGGTGCGGCGCCCTTACCCTATTCCTGACTGCATCCCTTTAACTTACTCATAACCTCAACCCAATGCCGACGCAACAGTGTAAGAAGGGTCACAGACGAGAGGAGGCCACTCGGCCCAGCTGGTTCATTTGGTAGCTGGTAAATGATTGATCCAAGGATTTCATCCAGCCTATTCTTGGAACCAGGGTTGGGCTCCAGCAATATGACTGGGTAGTTTGTTCCATACTCCCACCACCCTGTGTGTAAAGAAGAGCCCCCTTCTGTTAGTGTACACTGTCAGTATCTCTCTGTTCAAGACTGAAAAAGTTTCAGTTTCCCTCAGCCTGTCAGTGTGGGATTTACACCTGATGTTGAAGGTGATCCCCCCTCACACCCAGGCCTGCAGTTGGGCCCCTGTTGATGAGGACCGTGTCTCCTGGCTTTGTCTTGCAGTGGAGCTGAAGGAGGAGGCGACCCCTTTAAGCACCCCGTGGCGTCTCAGCATCATCACGGAGAAGGACGAGGAGCTGGAGAAAGGTGTGGGGTGTGGGGGCAGTGTTGGGGTAACGCGTCTCTCCCGCCCACAGACCTGGTCTGTAACACCCTGGAAGCAGCGCAGACTTAAAAGGGTCAAACAAATTGTCCATCCAGCTATTTTCGAAGTGCTTTATCCAGTACGGGGCTGCTGGGGAGCCAGAGTCTATCCCAGCAAGCAACAGGCGCGAGGCAGGTTACACACAGACACAAACACTCGCTCCACGGCCGATTAAACCACCACGAAGACACGAGAGGAAACCAGAGCACAAGGAGGAAACCCACGAAAACAGAGAGAGAACATACAGACTCCACGCAGACAGCATGCCAGGTCCAGGGCCCTGGTGCTGCGGGCAGCTTGCACTGCGCCACCATGCTGCCCAGGTTGAACAGTCTTTACATGTCAAATCTAAATGACCAGATCGTAGAGCACGGGGAATGTAAATCTTACACCTGCTTTAAGATGACAGAACGGCATGATTTGTTCTTGCACATCTTCAGGACTTGGAGCAGACATGAACACGCCTAAAATGAACACGCCTGTGAGTTCAGCACTTTGCTGCAGACATGAGTGGTAAATGAATAGAGTGACAGAAGCTATACAGAGAGTGTGCAGTGCTCAGCAGGGAGGCTGGAAAGCAGGGGTCCTGGAGAGCCCCACCCCAGTTAGTCTTATAGGCCAGCTGTTTCTGAAGCTTGGGAACACTGGAAGCTACTGATGAATCAAGCACTCGAACTGTTCAGTTGGGAGTGTTGAAAACTGCGGCTATTTTGTTCACAAATGATCTCTAAATTGCTTAAGAGATCATCTGCTTAATTGAACACAGAAAAGTGCTCCAGACATTTAGAAATGATTGAATTAACAATGCCCTGCTGGATTGAGGCTCCCCAGACCGGGATTGTGGATGCCTGCTGTAAATCAAGCAGGATAATAAACCATAATGTTGGGATACTGAAATACATTCGGAATAGATTACTTAATTTTTGTAGAGGGAGTGTGGTCTGAAAGTTCAAGAGGCGGAAAGAAAAATTTGAAATCGCTTTATTTATTTCCCATAGTTAAACCACCAACAAAAAGGAGGAAGTTTAAATGGTGAAGAACGGGACAAGGCGTGATCCGAGGTGACGGAAGAAGAGCTGGTGATCCCGGGACTCTGCACTCCTCTGTACCGCAGGAGGGTTTAGGAAAAGGCAGATCCCAGGTCTGGACTGAGTGTGAAAAGACCTGGTGTGTTGAACACTTTGGTTTGTCAGTAACGAGGAGCTTGTTCTCCAAAGGCAGTTTTGCCACAGTTTTAGCAACACACAACAAAGTGTTGTTTTTTTTTTTGTAACTCAACACACATTTGCAGGGGAGAGATTTGATTTGAGATTGTGACGTTTAAGGATGGTCTTGCAGACCTTCGAAGCTGAACCATGGGGAATTGAAATGGGGACTGTGTGAAAATGGAGAGAGAGAGTTCTTTTGAGGTTACAAACGTTACATTAAAGTCTGAAGTTGTTTCTTCAAGTAGTGTGCAAGATGCGTTTGTCATCCAGAGATGAAGGATGGGGTAAGATGAGGAATCGGTTGAGAAGGGATGTTAAAATTGTCTGAACATTCATCCCACAATTAAGCAAATCAAAGGCTGGAAAGCAGAGGTACAAATGGTTCCATTAATTAATTAAAAATAAGGAGAAAGAACTTTATTAAATAGACACACATGAAAGCTATTGGGCTGAGAGGACAATATTGTAATGAAGGCTAATTTATAACAACAAATAAGCAGTAATGTAAGAACTGAAGTGTCATGGCAATAATAGTGGGAAAACATTCGGATGATTAAGGTTAATGACTCATGTATTAAATTAGTATTTCACTCTTGTGTTTATCAAGGAGGAAACTGACAGCATGCCTCAGGATGAGTTCTGTGTTAAATATTATCATAGAAGTGTTGCTTGTGCTTAATGATGAACAGATCTCCAGGGTCTGATAGTATTCTCCCAGTTGTACTTCTGTAGGCAAGCTGTGCCAGCAGTCATCACTCAAGACTGGGGAAATACCCAGAGAAATTGCTAATGTAGTAGACCAATATGTCTTGTATTATATGTAAGATTTTCAAAACAATAACTAGAGGATCGTCTATTTGGAAATATAGACAGGGGTGGCTTGGCCTCCCCTAGCTCCTCTGTTTTTTAGTGGCTTAATTAATTAGTTAGCTAGTTTTACAATACATTAGTAAGACCAAGTTTAGAGTATTCTGTACAGTTTTGTTTACCACATTAAAAATTATAGTGCTCTGGAATTAGTCCAGAGCAGAGGAACCAGATACGCTTCCTCTCTTAAAGGATAGTCCCACTCTTGACAGGCTAAATGAACTGAACCTTTGTAGTACAAACAGGAAGGACTAAACGATCACGCTGATAAGAACAGAATATACAGCAATGGTTACAGAGTACAAGAGGCCGTTTGGCCCATGGAGCAATCCTGTCTTCTTCCATGAAACAGTTGGACAAAATCCTTGCATCAAGCTTCTAAGCCAATCAAGCTATAGGGGCTGAATAGCCCCCTCTCATTTCTAACCGTTCTTAAGTGTTTCTCACTGGGGACGGGAGGAAAGAGTCAGAAAGCTAACCGGTTACGCTTCAGTACAGATGAACAATCGCTGGCGAGTTCAGGTGTGATGCTGCAGTGTATTCAAATAGGTGATAAACCTAACGTGAGAAAGGGGCTGTCAATGGCTAGCATGTCTTGCGGGCCCTCTGTCAGTGTTGCTGTTAAGTGTAGACCCTTCGGGAAGTGTTTTTCACTGTTTCCTGACAGACTGTACATCTGCTCTTGACTAGTGCTGTCACCATGAATTATGGCAAGACAGTGCCACCCTGAGAGACAGAGCTCTGAGCAAGGCAGCCATACAGTGTCAGGCCCTCCTGCTCCAGTTCTCAGTGGTTTGCAGTAAACTGGATTTCCCCTGTGGTTCTGCTGTACTGGTTTGCTTTTCTATTCTAAAGAACAATCTGCGGGTCCCTTTAAAATCACAGTATACTCTGCCATCCACTCCAATACTTCTATACACTCTGGTGGTTTAAGCCCATTGAAAGAAAAAACGTGAAAACTTACATTACTGTCTGTGAACTGAGCCCCCCGTCTTCATTTTGAGGAGGCTGGCTCAGAACAGGAAAAGCACCAGCTCTGTTTCTCTGCCTCTCCCATCCCCAATCCTCAGGGGACACCCAGAGCACAACCAGAAGCCATGCCTATTAACTCCCTTTTAATGCCAAGTGGAGTTCAGAGTGTGAGACTGTCTGATTTACAAGAATTGAGTGCTCAAGTTACAATCGATGCTGCTCACTACACATTTCTGCTCATAAACGAGAAGCCCTGCGGTACTTTTCTAAGTACTGTAACAGGTTTAACGCCTGTCAGGAGCTGAAGGTGCATCAAAGTTTCCTGCCAAAGTTTAAAGCCTGACATTTTTATACCACCACGGACGTCATAAACTGTTTTTGTTGTTTGGGCAAAAAACAGTCGACAAAATTGTATAGAAGCGTCTGTAACAGAGCACACCTGGCCGGCCTTCTGTAAACAGCGAATCTCGCAGTGTTGGACTGGATTTTATTAATCATTAGGCAGGGAAGAGCTGCCAGCAACACAGCGTGAAATTAATCTCGCACTGCAGATCCAGCGAGAAAGGTTAATAACTAGAATGAAATATTTTTTTTTTAGAAATGTCAACGTCTCATTTCTGGGGTTTATATTTAGTGATCTCCACAACTGAATCAACAGAAGCGTCAGCCGAGGCGTGGGTGACTACAGTGGAGGCAGGATCCGGTGTGATGAAAACACACGTTGTTCTCTTGCTGTATACTCGTTGAAGCGCCTTGCACCAGATGGGACTTCTGGTTTTTGAACTTAACATGAGTTTAATCAAACGATTATATATTAAAGATTTCCGCTGGGGGAAAACCGTTTGGCCAGTCACTGATTTCAGTGGGAGAGAAATAACTACAGAAGCTGACACAACGGCTCTGTTGCTGCCTCTCTGCTTCTCGTTTGTCAGAAGTCAGCATGTGGCCGAGATTTGTGCATCTACCCCCTCCCCCCCCCCCGCGCAGGAAGTCCAGCTTGTTTTTATTCAGCAGCTGGACGATTAAAATTCGGAGAAATTTGCGGTTCTCATTGTCTGCGAGGTGATGGACACTCCGGGGAATCCGATCATTTCACACCCTAGCGGAGCACTGGAGAAGCGGTATCTCTCCAAGTGCCGAGCGACAGAAAACAAGGGGGGTATAGTCGCTTGAACCTCTAGGTGCCGGGAGACGGAGACTGAGCCGAGTTGACGGTTCGCCCGGCCCGACGGTGAGGCTGTTAAGGATGCTCGGGGCGGTTTGAGCCAGGCTTGCGTGACGCGAAACTGCATCTCGCCTTGACTCACTTCGTTGTAGGTCTTCGCACACTGACCGGAGAAGCGCTGACTGAGACACGGACCTGCTCTCCTCTGGGTGAAGAAAGGGTAGTGCCCTGATCCCCAAAGGGTAAATCTTACTATATGGCGGTGGTGCAACATTAGTAGGTACGGTATTATCGCTTTTTTTAAAAAATATATCAATATAATTGATTGAAATTTAAAACCATATCAAAATGTTTGTTTAGTCAACGATGCTCTCGTCGTCTTGCCTTGCACACGTTCTCTTTGTCTGGAAATGCACGCCGAGTGTTGTGGGTAGTGAACCCCACCCCATTCCTCCGGGACCCCAGATCCCGGGAGCGGGGACTAGGAGTCTCAGAAGTGAATTTGCCGATTTCTGCAAAGCTGGTCTTGCATGGAACTGTGCCATGAGCGTCGCTCTCCTCCAGCACGGCTGAATTACCGTCCTTCTCCGCTAGCATCCTTAAACGGGCTGTTGTTCGCCTTTCCCTGTGCCTGTACTTGTACTTCTGAGAAGTTCGCTTCTGTTGCCTGCTCGCGAACGCGACACGCCCTGCTCAAAATAAATGATGCATCTACAACATTTAGGAATGGGTTCTGGGCTGTTTATTTTTAAATACGTGGTTCTTAAAAAAAATGAAGAAATGAATTTATGTTGCTACGGGGACGTCAGTGTCTGTGATAAAAATGAACGTATTTGTGAACTCTTCAACAAGTGTTGCGGGTGAAGATAAATGCCCTTATCCGGTGTTCAGCGAATAGTTGTTGAATGAGCTTCCAACACGCTTACATTAAACGCCCAGACAAAGAAAAATACGAAGGAGGGGTGATTTGGGAAGGCCGGCGGGGGTACTGGCGCTGTCGCCCGGGCGCTCCTCTCGTTCTGCACAGCCGCCCCGCTGGTCGGTCACTGCGGGGCGACAGCGCACCTGAGCGAGGGGCAGTGGACCGCGGCCGGGGAGAGGTGGGGACGGTGTGGGACGCGCGGGGGAGAGAGACAGGAAGAGGACTCGGGAGCGCAATCGCGCGGCCGGCAGAGGTGGAGAGGAAGCGGCTCGCTCTCTCGCGTGCCATTAGCACCGGTCCCTCGCGCGCTCCGGGCAGGATGTGAGCCATTTAGGAAGAGCGTGACAACAGAACCCCTGCGTGATACATTCGGAGGGATTTTTTCTCGCCAGATCCACCAGATTTCCAGTCATGGCATCGGATAGTAAGTAATCCACCGGTTTATTTATTTTCACGCCGTTTTGCATTCTGCGCTCAGGTCTGCAGCTCGGGGTCATTTAAAATGATTTTTTTTGCCCCTTTATTTTTCTAAAAAAAAGAAACCGATAATCGATGTGCTAGTGTTAGTGATTATGTAATGAATGCTGTCTACTGCAATTTCAAATGGGCTTCAGCTTGCATATTTCGCCATCCATTTCTTAGAATTCGCTTGATTAAATTTTAAAATCTGATTTAGCAGGTAAACAGTGTCTTAAACGTGTAAAGCATAATATGATATCGTGTGAACACGCTTCGTTCAGTTACGGGACGTGTCCCTTCCTGTCATAATAAGGAAATAAAAATCTGTTTAATTTTTGACATTCAAATAGAATCCGTTGACGACGTTATAGTGTTGATGTTCCTTTCAGTTGTTCCAATCGGACATGCAGAGAAATGTTTTAATTACGCTGAAGAGATATGACGTGGGTGCATTCGTGTGAAGATACAGTGTCACCGGTTTGGTGAAAACTACGGAATCGGTTTGCAGTGAGGTACTATATACTGAGGGGACCACACTAGGAAAAATACAGTAGTGACGAGTCGCAGCCTAATGTGCTTATTCTTCTGAGAGCGCTGATGCATTTGATACAGGATTTTTATTCTCGAATGAAGGTACAGTAGGTGGCAGGACAACAGGACATCGCGCACGGTGGGCAGTAACACTCCCGCACAGAAGATCCGGAGGAAGCCTGGCGCTCAGCCTGAGCTTTTGTCAGAAGTCCACAAGACAGGTTGAAGGAGTTCACCTGTTTATCCAGGAAGACTCGATGTGTACGATCTGGCACTGGCTTTGAAATACAAGTTTACCATCAGCGCAGTTAGCTCTGAAAAACCA